ATCTTGTGCAGCAGATCAGAGGCACACAGGGGCCAAGAGATGCTCGTGAGGCCTCTGAGGTCTGTAGCGGGGTCGGGTCCCTTTCCATGGTGACCCATAGCCCCTCTCCAGCTCTGCTGTAAGGGTCATGTCCTGTCCCTCTCCCCGGGGGTGTGTTGTCACAGGCACGGTCCTTGCTGGCACCTGAAACGTTTCCTACAAGCCTGTGACTAATTACCCCTGTCTGCCTTCACCCCTAGGAAGAGTCAGTCTATGGACGTCCTCCTGCCCTGCAGATGTGCTGGTGGGGTTGAAGTGACTCCAGCACCTCCCAGGCTTGGTCAACCTCTCTAACCGCTGAGGTGCTCCCTGATTCTGTGTGCTGGTTCTGGTCACTGGTGCTGCACAGACATCAGTTCTTGCAGGAGGAAGCCTGGTGCATGTCTGCAGTGCTGCTCCTTTCTGTGGCTTTCGTGACCCTCCAGCAGATTTTTGGCTCCTTCGTCCTCAGCTGCATATGTCAATTGTTTGAAATCACTAACTTTACCCATCCTGACGGAACTCAAAGGTAGGAAGAGTGTTACATGTGGAGAAAACCTCCTCCAAAAAAGCTGAAATCTGACAACTGTTTTTTAAAGAAGCTCTGGGTAGTGGAGTGGCCTCTGGTTTCATGGCAGGGTGTCCTGTGATGTGAGAGCGCTCGGAAGTGATGTAGAGGAGGTTTCTCCAGACTGTTTATCAGTGACCCACACACCACCTGGCCATATGGAGCGGTCAGAGTGGTGAGGAAGAGGATGTTTGTGCAAGCAGGAGGATGGAGGACTGGCTGGGGTCATCCCCAACAGGCTTTGTGCAGCCCTGGGGTGCTCTCAGCTGAGGATCCAGGGGGCTCTGGCTGACGGTCCTGTAACAGCTGGAGGTGAGGAAAGTCGTTCCTTTTGTTTGTGCTGGTTCTCTGCTGCATAACATTCATGAGGTTATTTTCCCACTTTGGTTCTGGCCCCTAGACCTGTTACCTCAGCTGCTTTTCCTGCCCACCGAGACCTGGACATGTGTGGGGGATCCAAGCTGGGGAGCACTGTCTGCCTGTCCTTGGGGCAGTGACAGAATTTCTGCTGCTGGTTGTTCTGTTGAGGTCTGAAGAAGAAGGAGCTGTCCTTAAGCCTGGAGAGAGTTTTCTCACATGTCCTACTGCTTTTGTATCATCGAGACCTCCTGAGGGTTGTGGTGGGGTGTTTCCCCTTGCAAGCACAGTGCAGGGACTTGAGAGATTCCCAGTGCTTGTCAGCATGTGCTTGTCCTGAGCAGTGTTCACGGCCCTCTGAAGGGAAAGCTTTGTGCAAGATGAGGTTAGGACTGCATAGAAATTGGGCCTTTTTCTAATGAATAATAAACATCAAAAGCATGAGGTAGTTCAAAGTGGTTTTGCGTCTCCCTGGTGAGCTGGGGTTACAGGTCAGATGTCCCCCAGAATGGCAGCTGAGCCACTAAACATGGCAAAGAGGGATTGGAGAATCCCCATGCCCCTGGCAGTGCTTTGGGGGCACTTCTGTCCTGTCACCATCAGAATTCAGCTCGTTACACCATGGCTGAATAAACTTTGCACAGAAGAGATTTTTGAACAGATACAGGTTTAACATCTTTTAAAATTTGAAAGGTGTGGAAAAGTTCTTAGAAATCAGATTAAAGGGTGAACATGAATGGCAGAAAGAGCTACAGAAGCGTTCAGGAGAGTTTGTTAACATGTGTAACAGCAGCAGCACAGGGCCTCAGTCCTGGGTGCTACAGTCTGAGCTCCAAGAAACGTCATGAGGTTTGTGGCATGGGGTGAAGGGGGCTGCCTGCAGTCAGACAGGGGGATACAGTGTCACGTTAAATTCCATGATTATTGTAAAGTACTGTGGGTGAAGCAGTGTGAGATCAGGAAAGGAGAGATGGTAAAATAAACAGAGTTTGGAGTATGTGAAGAATGGAGAGAAACAAGAACTGACTGTAGCATCATTCCTTACTTTGTTTAAAAATTAGATTTCTGTAGTCATACCCTGCGAGCATTTATTATTTATTACAAGAAAACAATTCTGAGCCAGATGTTGAAGAGCGAGGGCTGGGCAGTCAGTCCGTCGGCGTGGCAGGGCCAGCCCAGCCGTGCAGCTGGCACCGGTCCCTGTGCCGCCCTGGCCGCGCCACACCCGCTGTCCCCGGGCAGGTCTGGGGGCAAACAGAGGAGACAAGACCTCTGAGCAGGACCCTCCTGCAGTGATTGCTGTGAGAGAACAGCCTTGCCCAGACACCCGCACAGTCCCTGCATGGCAGGCAGGCTGGATTTGGTGTGGTGTGTGTGGGAATAGGTGCTGGGAGCGGCGCAGTGTTGCGCCGTGGCTGGTGTACGTACAGGAACAGCCGTGTCCCCTGGGAAGCCGCACTCGTGAGCCGTATGGTTTCCATCAGAGCGTTCCTTTCTCTGTTTCTGATTTAAAGTGGAGCTTTGACTCAACCTGATCAATATTTCGCATGCCATGCGTGAAGAACCAGATGTTGGAAGTTTCCTATCGTGGAGAGGGAGGGGCAAACACCCCCCCGGACTCACAGAAATCAATGTTCTCTGACAGAAGTTGGTTGGGTTTCCTTGGAACAATATAGTCTTTTGATTTTCAAGTTGATTTGTCTTCTAACAAGGTTCTGGTTTAATATTTTGAATTTGTTTCCTGTGATATGGATAAATTCTCACAAGGGGGAAGTTTAACAGTGTGATGGGCAATAACTACACGTATTTGGCCAGCATTTCATTGCCTCCAGCAGCTCACAGCTCAGACTGGCTCGGCCCTCACATTGTCTTTCTCTGAACTGCTCCCTTCCTCCGCTGGAGGATGAGGTGGATCCGGTGCATGTGGTGGTGCTGTGCCCAGCCTGGGCTTGGTGGTGGTGGCACCCTCAGCCTGTGATTCCTCCAGGACTTCAGGCAGGTGAAGATCATCCCAGCACAAGGTTTGAGAGGAAGCAGAAGAAGAGCAGAAAATAAGACACATTTATTAAACTGTTTAAAACAAATGTTTTCCTAAAATCCCCTTTTAAATGAGGGCAGTGCAGAGCGTGCCTCTGGTTCCACAGAGACCATGTCCTTAATATTTCCTTGAACCTATGACCGGATTTTTCTCTTAATTGCTCACTGGGGGTTTTCTCTGCCTCCATGCAGAAGCTGCCGCTGAGCCCGTGGGCACTTCCCGAGCTCCATCCAGCGCAGGGTTTGTAGGACAGGGCTTCCCCAACGTGCCTCGTGGCTGGTGAGGGTGAGGATGTGGCTGGTGTGGCTCCTGGAGACAGAGCCTGGCCTGCAGTGAGTTGGGGCTAGGAGGGCTGTGGCAGGGGTCGGGATGGAGCCGGGCTGGCAAGGCTGAGCCATGTGAACCAGGCATGTGACTCTTGTGATGGCCCCACTGACCTTTTATGCCTTAAGCCATTCCTCTTTCTCTGGCTCGGGAAGAGGGTAACACATGCAAACAATAGAAATGAGAGGAGGAAGAAGTTCTTATGAGGGAAAACAGCAAAAAATCTTTTGAGGGCACCAGTGGGATTAGTGCCCTCGTGGATTCTTCAAATATTACAGTGAATTTAATTAAATACATCGTGATCCCAAAAGAGGCTAGTCTAATTAGCCAGATCTAGAATACATTTATTCTCTTTCCTCACCCTTCCAATCAGAAGCCTCAGCATCAGCTCATATCCTATTTTTAATCATTCCTAGACTCAGAGGGCTCTTCTTCCTCCGTGTGAGCGAGGCACACAGCTCTGGGTAATATGTGTCTTTAATCTTATCTCAGCTGTAACTGAGATAATACGCGTTGGAATTTTTACCAGAAGGTCCTGGCTGCACGTAGGCAATATTTTTGATTGACAAACCTCAAGATCGTGCCCAAATCAGTGTACTCATGCCTTGGGCCAAGTGTGTGGTGAGGAAAGAGTTCCATGAGATGACACAAAGACAAAAGGAGGTCTCAGGGTTGGAGCTGGCAGGTGTTATTGCCCAGCTGAAGTGTAGGTGTGGGATGGAAACACCACTGGCTTTCACTGAGGGGTCTCTCATGTTGTTTCACCTTGGTATCCATTTTTCCTCAGCTTGTGATAAGTCCTTACTGTGGGAATTGGGAAAGTTCCTGCGACCTCCTGCTTCCAGCCCAAAGGGAGAGCGGCCATGCCGTGGCAGCCAGCATGGCCCTCTGGTTCCAGGAAATAATTGCCACATCCACGGGGTCCACGACATGAAATGGTGCTTGGTTTCCCTGGTGGCACAGAGCTCTGTGCCAGAGGATTGGTAGGTTTTGTCAAATAATCACTGTGTAATACTCTGGAATTAGCTGTATTGGCTGCAACAGCACAGCTCCAGAGAGGGACCAGGGTTTTTCCAAGTGCTGAGCCCTCACAGTGGTGCCCGGCTGCATTCCCGCTGTTGGCTCTTCAGCCTGGGTTGCTGTCACAAACATCTTCCAGCCAGGCTGCTGCTTCCTTCCCAATCCGAGGGAGTGGAGTGCTGGGTGATGGACAGGATGGCTCTGCACTCTGCTTCAATACACTGCTTCCAGGACCTCTCTATCTAATGGGTTTATTGTGTTCTAGTATTGCTTTGGTTTTATTCTTTGTAGTTTCCATTAGAATTTATCAAATTTAATTTTATGTATGACATGCAGTTGGATCTCTTCCCAGGACAAACTATGAGTGTGAAGGAATGAGCCCTGTGTGGGTCATGAGCAGGTGTTAGTGCTGGGCCTGGTGCTTTCTCTCACTGAAGGAGATAATCTTGCCTTTATCTGTGCTTTGTGCCCATTTCAGTATGTTTTGGTTTTCTTGCTCCTCAACAGGAGAGCATGTGGTACCTTGGGAACAAACAGGCTTGGTCTCACTGGGTCTGTGTCAAAACGTGGTTTCTTAACTAATTCCCAGGTGGTTTTTAGCAATTTACAGTGGACTAACTCAGGGGATAGGGGCTAATAAAGGACATTCACATCCCTCTGCTTTGTTCTCCACAGCACCTGCAGCACCATGAGAGCGGGGTCGAAGGTGAAAGCTGCTACTACCACTGTGTCCTCTGTAATTACTCCACCAAGGCCAAGCTGAACCTCATCCAGCACGTGCGCTCCATGAAACACCAGCGGAGCGAAAGCCTCCGGAAGCTGCAGCGCCTACAGAAAGGTCTTCCTGAAGAAGAGGAGGATCTGGGGCAGATCTTCACCATCCGGAAGTGTCCAGCTGCCGAGGCCGGTGAGTGCTGCCGCCCTGGCGTGAGCTGGGGGCAGGGGTGGGTGAGTGGCATCGGACCCACTGTGCTGTTCAGTGACAAGCTCATTGACATTCCTTTGTCTTTTTCCTGCTGTGGGATGACACTTATGGTTTATCAAAAACACATTATGGGAATCCCTCCTGCCTGAGGTGGGATTTGGGATGTAGAAGTTTGGGACGTAGAAGCGTGTGTGTTGGTTCAGGTTGCTGTCTTAAACACTGGAATCTTGTGTGAGCATTTAAAGATACCATCGCATCTGGACAACTTGACAAACCAGTGCAGTAGTAGATGTTTTGCAGTGGCTCAAGTGATGCCCTGTGCGCCAGCACGAGCTGTAGCGGCTTGGCACTGATTTCTGTTACTTAAGCCACACTGAATCAAGAGGAGGAAGGAGCTGACTAGGAGTGGGCAGAAGGGGTGAGTGTTCCATGTCTGTTTTCCATGTCTCCTCTTGGCAAGGTAGATAGAGTGAAGGGCTTGGATGAAGCGTTTGCTCACACAGATCATAGGAAAGGGATTGCAGCAAGAGCAGATGTGCCTAAAGGGAGCAGTTAGGCTGGACGGAACAGGGATGGTACTTTGTTTAATCATGTAAAGGGCTAAGAAGTTCTTAATGTTCTGAAAAATCGAGGTCTCCTGAAGCCCTCTTTGGAGGGAGGAGGAGGAGAGATGGCCTGGGTCAGCTGGTTCGTGTGCTGTGAAGGTGCTGGAGCTGGGGGGTGTCAGCAAAAGCCTTCACAACCCTCCTCTTGGCTTCAGGCAGGACATTCCTCCATGACTGCTGTGAAAATGGGTAAATCCTACAGAAAAGCACTTTGAGGAACTGGCATTGTGCAGTAAACACACATGGAGACGAGGGAGGTGGTCTTGGCTTAAAGAGTTGAGAAGGGACAGCAGCAGGAGCTGAGGGAGAACATGTGGGGGTCCCTTGAATTCGTAACTGGGTCACATTGCTGCTACACCTGTGAGTAGTGGGGTTCTGAAATACACCCAAAACACCCCAAAAGTGAAACAGGAGATGTTTCATTAAGAGTTAAATTCAATCTTACGGAAAAAAGTGCCCGATCCATGACCTCGGTGGCCCAGTGGAGTCGAGGGCATGGAACATGCTTCCCCAAAGGTCACGGTGACAGCGAGAGCGCGCGGTGACTGCCACACCACCCTGGGGGGAACAGCAGCTCTGGCAGCCGTTCCGCTGCGCTGCGATGCTCCGCTGTAGAAAAACATTCCGATTTCGAAAGGGTACCTTGGGCAGGGCTGTGGGTTGTGAGCTGCTTAAATGCAAAATGAGCAGAGAGGGGAAACCATCCGTGCCCTTTTGTGATAGACAGAACAACCTTGAAAATCTTGTTTACTTTAGAAATTTCTGTTTACCTTGTCTTTTACTGTATAAACCTTATCTTTCCTGTCTGGCTGCCTGGATTAGGACATGGCAGGTACTGGAAGGGCGGAAGCTGACAGGCTGGGAGGGAAAACGGTTGGGTGACCATTTAAAAAAATGTAATATTTTTAAAGTAAAAGTCTTGACAAGTCACTGAAAGGAAATTTTGGTTTACAAATATTTTACTTTAATTTTCTTTAAGCTTGCTGGTTCTTCAACAAAAACTGACAGTGAACAAGACACTGACAATTTCTTGATCATATTTTATTTCAAAGGTTAAGAATACAAGCAAGAATAAGGCTGCAGAAAGCAAAGCAGGGGAACCTCGGGTTAGTTTTGCAGGTTGCTTTGTCCTGAGATATTTAATTTCAAGCACTCTTTGAGCCCATTGTTGAGTCAGACAGAGTGGGTGCACCTTACTGATGTGCTGGGCCAGGCATCCCTGTGGGGATGGAGGCCAGGTTTGTGTGAGAAGCTGCCATACCCCCAAGTGGGAGAACAGGTGCTTCCATCTCCGCCTCATTCTGATCCCATTATGGTATCAGAGCATCAACTCGAGTGCGGGGACGCTCAGCTGTGTGGCAGGGCCACGCACAGGGATGGTGTGAGTCTGCACTCTGTGTCTCCTCCTCCTCTGTAATGCAGTGGGGTCTCTCTCTTGTGTCCCCATCATGGTTTTTATTGTTGTTTGCCAAGGGCTGGGTGGACTTTTCTCACTGCCTTTTGATGAGGAGTCTCTGGTTGTGTCAGATAACAGGCTCAGACACATTGAGCAGACACTGGTCTGTGACACTTCCCTGGTCTGTGACACATCTCTACCAGTGCCCAAAGGGACAGTGACTTTTTTGGTCCTTTTTTGTGACCTCGTGTGACAGAGTGGAGTCGCCCTGTTCCCCTCCCGCAGGTGTCGAGGTTCAACGCTGGCTCTGTCTGTGTATCTGCTCTGTGTGTACCTACTCACTGTGTGTGCAAGCATGTAGGAGAAAACACTGCTGTCTGGGGGTGGTGCATAGATATTTGCTTGTGTAGATGCATCTCAATCTGTTGGAAGAGAGCTCTGATCACACCTTAATTAGTCCTCTAAAAATCTGCAAAGGTCAGTGCCAATTGCCTGTTCATTTACATTTGTAATTGTGATGGTTCTTGATTGCACATTAGTTGCAACTCACTCCCTCCCACCCCGCAGAAGCACAGTCAGCCTGAGCAGCCACTCTGGGGACACGGGGACCTTTGTCCCTGCCTTTGCCAGCAGCTCAGCCCTCCCCAAAACTCGGGTGTCTTTTAGGGAAGAACTTTAGGAGCTGACCTCCACTTCCAGTAGAGGGATGATGAAGTCGTTGGCAGGGAAATTATATGGACATCAGGCAGGAAACCCAATCCTCCTTGAACTGGATAATTAAAGACAATTAAACTTTTCTGCTTGCTCTGAGAAGTGTGCTCATTATGCAGGAGATGGGGAAGCGGATGGACGTTCAGCTGGTTTGTTGATCAGGGAGCACACAGCTTCAGGGAGGGGGTGTTGTCCTCTCTGGGTATTTTTGGACATCTATTGCTGTGGTATCTGGGCTGCTGCCATTGCAGATGTCAGCCCCTTTCTGCAGCAGCATCTGTGTAACGTTACCCATAAGCTAATTGATTTTTAATGATGGGGGTTTAGAGAAGAAAAAAAGCCCAAACCCATAATAAAAACCAAAACGTTCTCGAGATGTTGGATGGATGCACTTACAGCTCATTAGATAATGACAGAAACAAGAGTGAAACAACCTGCACCGAATTTTCATTCTGACTTTGGAAGTGTTTCTTTCCTTCCAGAAGGCATCAAGCACCTCAGCCCGCTCCGTAGCTCCGGCAGCTGCCGTGGGGTCACCAGTTGGAGCGGGACAGCTGCTTCATGTTTAGAACGTGGTGCCCCTGCTCATCCCATCGTATCACTCTCCATGTGCCACCCACACTCCTGTTTTCCTGTTACAGCCCCGCTGTTTAACCTGTGTCCCTCTGCACAATAGGTTTCCTCCCTTACCTGTTTCTCCCGACTCCCCCTGTTTTCCATCTCTGCTCTCCCTTTCTGTAGTGTCCTCCTGTGGGAGGAGCAGAGGGGCTTTGCCCACTCTTCCCTCTGTGTAGGACAAATATCCATAGGTATCTATCAGGTGTCCACACTCCTCGCCTGCGCTGCCCTCTGCCCGTTTCACTGCAGAGGACAGTTCCTGTGGTGGCCACATGGTCACAGCAGTCCTGCTCATCGCTGCCAAATCCTTGGCAGCCATCCCCTTCCAACACAGGGTCCTTGTTGGGGCCCTCGCGTGAGGAGCAGGGCCGGCACTCTGGCAGCCCTTGCTGGACACCGAACACCATGAACAGCCCCTTTGTCCAGGCAGGAAGGGGGGCTGGGAGTGTCACCTCTGCCCCCCTGTCTGACCTCGCTGGAGCACCCATGTTGCTCCCTCCCTCTGCCAGCCCACAGCAAGGGACCAGCCACTCTCCCTGCTCCAAACGTGGATTATAGTTATTTTGAGGAATACCCTTTCTGCAAAGCTCTGCCCTGGGAGCCCCTGGAAAGCTGCTGGTTCCCAGGGATGAGGGGGAGGATGCCTCAGGGCCCCCACTTTCCCTCTCCATCCCCAGGCAGAGGTGCACTGTCTGTCCACATCTCCCTTCTGTTTCAGTGTTCGACCTTCTGAAGGGCTGCAAGCTGCAGACTGAAAATCAGGATGTGAATCTTTAATGAAACCAAGTATGTAAACAGACCCAGGGTATAGCTGGCGCAGTGTTCAGATGAGAAAACCCCACATGGTTTAAAAATAGTAGTTCCCACCTCAGAATGACTGAATCACACCTCAGCCTGGCCCTGCCTGTGGTGCCTGCAGACAGCAGGGTGCTTGTTTGGTGCTGGTACCTCTGTGCACTGAGTCATGTGAAACATTTCTCTCATCTTCCTCTCCCTCACAAGCAGTTTTGTGGCCGCCTCAGGGTAACAGGAGCAGGTCCCGTGTGCTGGGGAGCAGGTTTGGTCAGAGAGCTCCTAGGATGTGGTTTGCAGTGTGAGGTTTCTCTCAGACACGAAGTTTCTCTCTAGCAGAAGGGAGGCTCAATACCAGCCATGTCTGTCCATTCCATTTGTGACCTCTCAGTCCCTCAGTGTGCCCTAATGCCTCACCTGCTTCCTTGAGACCAGTGCTGTGATCTGGGGTTCCCCACTCTCCTGTCCAGGCTCTCCAGTTCCTCCCTTCCCTTAGTGGCCGTGCACTGGATTTGGAATTGTGAACAGCCCATCTGTAAAGTGAAGCAGACTGTGGAGAAGGGGAAAGGGGATGTTCCACAAAAACCTTCCATGAAGGAACCATCCTGTTATTTTCCTATCTTAAAGAGTGAGCAACCATGTGAGGCATTGTTCCTTCATGATCATCGAGCATGGAGTAATTCTTCTTGGAGTAATTAATGGAGTTGTTACAAGCAGGGATGTGGGATGTGACTTTGGGGTGGATTTTTCATGATAGCAGACTCTCTACTTCCAGTAGAACTTTTAAGACTTTTGAAATGAAGGTTGGTAGTGCCAAATGATATTTCTCCTTGCTTGAAATAACTCAAATTTAGTGGGAT